CACGTTGGGGACGTGGTCATGGTAGAAGGCGAGGGCGTGCGGGGCGGGGGAGTACGGGCGCGGGGCGGGGAAAAGGAGGATGTGGAGGACAGGATATTCCACTACCATGCAGAGGCCCTCGCGAGGCATCCCGAGGACGTGGAATCCCTCATAGCGGCCGGGGAGGCGTATGCCCGACAAAGCCTTCGGGCGACCACGACCGTGAATCGAGACTCTTTGTGGCGGGAGTCCTTCATGTGCGTACACACCGCCGTGAACCTCCGTCCCTGCGACCCGACTACCCATCTCGTCGCCGCCCAGGTCCTGTTGGCCAATCGGAGCGCCTCCCACGACGAGAACCACAGGCAAGCCAAGGCCATCATCCATAGGGCCGAAGAGACCTTCTTCACACTCTCTTCTCCTTCCTGCCCCTTTCCCGACCTTCCTCGGGAACGTGTCGCGGCCTTGTTGGCCTCGGCTCGACTGCGCTTCGCGCAATTTTTCTTGTGGATAGGCGATGAAACCGAAGCTAAACGAGCTGTGGCAGAGGTGTTGGCACTACGGCCGACATATCTCGAAGCGCATCAATTGCTGGTGCTTGTCCTGAAGAAAAGCGGGAGAGACAGAGAAGCGCGAGAAGCGATGCACCTTGCCCTTATTGCTTTAGGGCCGCGGGGGCGGGAAAGGAGTGTAATAGAAGCATTTGAGAGTTTACTCGAACCTCAAAAAGACTGTAGATAATAACTTTGTAACAAAATTGAGTAAAGTAATGTATTGAAGCGAGTAAATTACCGAAAAATGTCTTTTTGCGTGTGTTTTTGCTTCGAATGAAGAGTTGTTTGAGCAGCTCGACTTCCCCGGCACGGTCGCTCACGGCCATGAGCACAAGGCCTTCTTTCTTCCCCCCCCCCGTCGCATCAGCATGCACCTGCGTGCCTATGCTTCCACGCACAATCCCATAAGCCATGAAAATTTGGGATGATGTACCGTCTCGTGCAAAGCATAGTAGAGTCCAGGCCGATCGCAACTGTTCATCGGCAAGCTGGATATGATCATCTCCCTCCCTACAGACCATCATGCATGTTGTCTTACGTGCCTCTGATTATCTGGCCAGTCTGCACTATTCTCACCCACACCACCGCATGATTAAACAGATACTTCCTTCTTTGGGATTACAGCAGCATTGAAAACTTCGGATCAGGACGTTTGCACGATTGTAAACGCTGACTTTTTGGGTGCGGATAGCGTTGGTGAGTCTGCCCGCTCCTCTTGAAGTGAAGCCGCAAAGCGCAACGAGTAAGAATAACTCACTTGACTACAGCATAAGCTAACTGCGGCATCCGAGAAGCACCATGAAGCTAGTCAGGTAAAGTGGCATGCACAATCAAAAGGATAGGAGTACAGGCTCCCGTCGCCCCAGGTCGGATGGTATCGTACATCTTTCACTTTGTCGTGGATGTTTCCCTTTTTAGGCGTTTGCACCAACACATTCCCTCTCGTCGTAAACCTTTGCAGATTTTTGATGAAGCTGAATAATGAGACCGTCACCATTGAATTGAAGAATGGCACGACCATCCAAGGCACTATTTCTGGTACGTCGTCTGTAAATTGCAGGCATTTGGTGCACCATTTGTTTTTCCCCAGTGTTGTTTGCATCCTTCTCAAAATAGCGCCAGTAGAGCCATTGCAAGGTGGTGAATGTTACCAATAATCTGATGAGCGTTTATATCCACTATAGGCGTCGACGTGTCGATGAACACGTACCTCAAGAACGTGAAGGTTACGCTGAAAGGCAAGAATCCCGTCTCGTACGAGAGCCTGTCCATCCGTGGCAATAATATTCGCTACTATATTCTGCCGGATGCCCTTAATTTGGACGCATTGTTGGTGGATGATGGTCCGAAAAATAAGCTGAAGCCCGGGGCGCAAGCTGGAGGACGGGGTAGGGGGCGCGGAGTTGGCGGGCGGGGTG